ACTACTCAATTTATTGTGGATGCCTACCACTATATCAATCATCGGGTGTTAGATTTTCTATGCCGAAAATATTGTAATCCCTCACCTGGAGATGGATCTGCTCCAAACCTTGTAGTCATGGCATATGATAAGAATGGTAGAGCATATTTGAAGCGAGCATTCAATACACAGGTATTTATTACTTTATTTAGATTCAATCTCACCTCAACACTGTATTACATCTAGGTTTGTGAACAACTTAATGCATGGCTTTGTGGATATCAATCAATTCTCAAACGTATGACACCTGGAAATTTCAACTGGTTTTTACACACCATGCTGTTCTATCACACAAAGTATGTCCTCCACAAACAAGAGATGAAGAAATCAGATGAAGATGAGGAGGAAAACTTAGGTTTAGATGAAGAAGCTCAAGATGATGAGGACAACTAAATATTAGTGAAGAGAAAGAGGTGTGCAGAAGTGTATATTAGTGTAAATGTATAGTTAACTGAATAGTAGTAAAGAGAAGTATGCAGAAGTGTATATTACTGTAAATTAACATATACTTGCATTTAAATAGAGGTTTTATACCTTATTCTTCTCATATCCTGTCCCATTCCAGTGGAATTCCCCTGGAATCCACAGGAATTCCACAGGAATACACAGGAATTCCACAGGAATACACAGGAATACACAGGAATTCCACTGGAATGACTAGATTCCTGCAGGATTCCTGCAGGAATAGGTGGGGCACTGTAAAGTACTGATATTCCCAGAAGGGTGATAAACTTCTCGCATGGGTCCACCACCCACAGGACCACCCAATACCTTGTCAGCATGCATAAAGCTGATGACTAACCGCCATGACATCCCCCTCGAAGCAAAGCTGCACGGATACGTGGTTGACGGACCAGAATCTCTCGGAGATGAATGTAACTATCAAAATCACGCTTGCTAAAAACATAATGGGGGCCACGAGAAGGGAGCTGATAGATGATGGGCATACTAGGGGGGGGGTTAGACATGATACTTTTCCATACCAGTGTACGGAAAGGCACCCCACGCTCTATCAAAAAGCAGGCAATATCAGCCTCCCTATAACGTGGATCAAGTCTACAGACCAGAAGTACATCAGCAGCAGTAGTCACCGCGAGCTTCCAATGCACGGTCGCCTCACTCTTGAAGTCGAAAACAAAGATCCAACGGTGGTTGGCTTGAATCTGTTTGAAAAAAGATAATGACACTGATTTTAGTCGCTTGGAAAACACCAAAGACTCGTGGTTACTTGGTGAAAGATCCCAACAGTCACTTGACGGACATTTGCCAGCTATCAATAGTTTGACAAACTGCAAAGAAAGCCGGGCTATATCGGACGCCTCAAATTGTCGGCGCACTTCTGGCTTGCCATCTGTGTCCAAACCAAGCCAGCGGCCAAAGCGTTGTCCATCTTTCCAAGAGAATTCAGAGAGTGATTGTGGGATGGGAACTGGACGAATCAATCCATAATGTTCGTACAACATCTCACAGACGCCAATTTGCAACAGCTCCAGCGATGATGTCTGACGCAGGTTGCTGACAGCTTGAAAATGATCAGAAGGAAGATCTGTCGCAACGTAGGGCTCAGGATTTATGGGTGGAGTGGGGGGCACGGAGGGGAGTATCTAAAATAGGAGGGGGTTCATCAGTTAACCTCATCTGTTCCATCTCCTCTCTCTCCTCATTGGTGTAGTGACCAAGGAACATTCGGTAGTCCTCCAGCTCCTGCCAGGTAGATGGTTGGTTGGCTCCAAACTCTTCGCAAATATGCCATGTATTGTTGAATGAATCATATCGTTTGTACTTATCTTCATACATCTCCAGAATGTCGACCCGCTCTGCCACTGTTTTTTCCTCAGGAATGAGCTGGTTTCCGCCATTTATAGGCTCAACCCACTCAATCACCCTGGCACTCCGGGTTGGTGGTTGGCGCTCACGGTTCAGTCGCCTCTCACGGTCTTTAGGAGACTCCACCTTTGCTCGTTCAAGGTTTTCTTTTTCAAGGTCCGCAAAGTACTGCTGCCATGGCTTTGAACCAGATGATCTTGCAGGTGCAGTGTTCGCAGAGGCGAGCGTAATGGCATGTCACGGGTTGGTAAACAGGGATGGAATTCCCAGATTGCCTGTTAACAGTGCCAGACCTCGATAGAATTCATTTTGCTCAGCTAATTCATCTTCTTCAGGACCCCATCTATACCAGACTGGTATTCCTCTCTGACAGAACCACTGAATCGAAGGCTGATAAAAAGAAGGTCCCTGATTGGGTAGCTTAAGGAAGATCCCCGCCCGAGGATTATTAATTGAAAAGTCACAGACAGTCGAAGCGGAGATAGCATCCACCCAGGTAGAATCAAAGAAATTTTCATTCGGGTAATCAAGGCTTCGCTCTTTCAGAAATGATCGCCAGTCAGGCACTCCAAGAATGGCATCTTTTCCTTGGTTTTCGCACCACTGTCGATAATCTTTCTGTGCCTCCAGCGAGAACTCCGCCCGAGCCACCCCATAGGATAGCAAACCCATCCAAACAAAAAAGCAATCTCGGGAAAGCATTGCAGCCTTTTTGATAGAATGGGGTTGCTTGTAAGATGCCCGATAACCCTTGGCCGAAGGAGAATATGGAGCGATTGCTGCAATTTGGTAAGCTCCAAGGAGTCTTCGGGTGGCATGGAGCAAATCGAGATCTAGCCTTTCCCAAGAAGCAACAATTTCTCATGGCAGTTCATATTTTCCTTCCGGTGTTGGGGTAAAAGCTTGTGGCAGGCGAGATAGGCGATCGAAAGGAAAACCGACTAACATTGGTTTGCGAGGAACAAAGGCAAGCCAGCCATGAGTGTCTGTCCACCATCTTGGCTCTGTAAAGTCTTTCCATGCCAAATTCGGAGGAAACTGCTGCTCATTGGGGTTTGTTTCTTTTGGGACTTGAATCGTCCGTGAGCAATTTGGCGAATAGTAATCCACACCAGACTCGTGAATCAGCCGACCACGGGAGCGGTCAAGCGGCCTGGCTCAAATGTCAGATATTTTTGTCGATGACATTCAGCGAAATTGCTTACATGGACTCGTTACCGCACGATGGCACTTTCTGCTGAGATAATCCGCCCTCCTGCCAGAAAAGACCTCTCCAGAACTCGCGTTTACTATTTGCATGAGTCATTAGTTCCAAATTACGACGCTTTACTACAAAAGGTGTACTTACGGCATTAATCCCCGAAGTCACAACAAGATAGACTTTGGTCAGAGTTCCAGCAAGGCGTGGAAAGAGGAGGAAGGGCGAAAGAACGTTCGGCAAACAGTGAGAATCACGTTTGTCAAAGCTGAAACGAAGCCTATGCTGAGGAGAGGCTGAGCGATAGGAGTAGTGTTTGAAAGTCCGGTTAGGTTAGGTTATTGGGTGCCCAGGGGCTCTAACCGAGACCGAGACCGGTTAGGGTTCGTTCCCAGACCCAAAATAACCTAACTGGACCGAAGATAACCGATGAAAACCGGTTAGTTGCAGTTACTAACTGGTTAGGACCGAAAAAATAGAAAATCGATTAAAACGGCGTATATTTCACATATTCCTTGCAGTAAACATTATTTCCATGCGTCGTAGCTTTAAAACAAGCCCAAGAACGCTAAATTCGGTGAAGAATTGACAATTTTATAATAATATTCTTGAAAGCCTACTATTTTAGCCAATAATTTAGAGATTTGACCATAACTCTGTCAGATTTTTAGCGTTTCTCATGCTTTTAGATGCGTTTTGAAGGGGTATAATAGGGTCGGTTGTAACCGGTCATAACCGGTTATTTCATTTCCAGAATTGACTAACCACTAACCACGGTCCGGTTTTTTTGCGGTTAGGTCCGGTCTGGTCTTGGTTATTTTCCAGTTAATTAACCTAACTTCCAAGCACTAGATAGGAGTGCAAGGACCGAGTCACGTTCGGTGAATCCAAAACGCGCAGAGAGAGAAGGCAAAATCTTGGAAGCCGAGAGGGTGTGAGGACAGTGCACAGCAAAATGAGATGTGATTCTTGAAGGATAGTGGTGAATTTGAGAGATTCAGAATTCACGTTCGGCAAAGCCGAGACGCAAGAGAGGCAGCCTGAGCGTTCTGGTAGAAGATCAAACAGGCACTGAGTGTGGCGGCGGAAGGTGAGGAAAGCCACTTCACGCGCGTTCGGCAAAGCCGACTCCTTGACGTGCAGAGCCTAGACAAGGTATTTGTGGGGAGAAAGAACAGTGACTTGGCCTGAGGCCTGCTTAGTGGTAGTCGGATGGATAGCCCGTTCGGCTAAGCCGAGATGCGCAAACTTGAACTAGATTGACTGGGACTCGGAGTACCTAGTAGTAGTAGCTGGGGGACGATCATGATTGTGCCCCCAACCTGTGAGAAAATGATGTTGAACTTATTAAGTAACCGAGTGATGCATCATTTCGTCAGCAGGACTCCCGGGTCCATTTTCAATGTCACTGACGCTAATTTGACCGTCTCAGATGGATCTTGGGCTATCTTATATGGCGCCCTTTGGCTTTGCCATGGGTGCCTTCTCTGAGTCCTTGCCTTCTCCAGTCTATAGTACATCCTCTCCAAATCCGCCTCTCCTATGGCTTGCTGGTATGCCCTGGCAGGACTGGTGGCTACCACTTTTATGATAAAACTAAGGCAATTGCCTGTAGAGCTGTGTGTATAAGTCCACAAGTTTTATGAAAGGCATTTCATAGATGTGTCCTGTGTTTTCTTTCTCATAAAACCTATGTTCTTTTCAGAAGATATAGGCAAGGCCACAGAGTGCTTTTCATAATTAAACCTGTGCGCTTTCAATAGGTATTTCATTCACTGGGTTAGGTGTATTCATTGCCTTTTTCATAATTAATGGTGTGCACTTTCATTGAATATTTCATAATTAATGGTGTGCACTTTCATTGAATATTTCATTAGGAATTTTGGGCGCTTTCATTGCTTTTTTCATAATTAATCCTGTGTGATTTCAATAAATATTTCATTCACTATGTCAGGTGTATTCAATGCCTCTATCATATCTAATGGTGTGCGCTTTCATTGAATATTTCATTAGGAATATTGGATGCTTTCATTGTACTTTTCATAATTAATGTTGTGCAGTTTCAATAAATATCTCATTCCCTAGGTCAGGTGTATTCATTGCCTCTATCATATTTAATGGTGTGCGCTTTCATTGAATATTTCATTAGGAATATTGGATGCTTTCATTGTACTTTTCATAATTAATGTTGTGCAGTTTCAATAAATATCTCATTCCCTAGGTCAGGTGTATTCATTGCCTCTTTCATATTTAATGGTGTACGCTTTCATTGAATATTTCATTAGGAATATTGGATGCTTTCATTGTACTTTTCATAATTAATGCTGTGCAATTTCAATAAATATCTCATTCCCTAGGTCAGGTGTATTCATTGCCTCTTTCATATTTAATTGTGTGTGCTTTCATTGAATATTTCATTAGGAATATTGGATGCTTTCATTGTACTTTTTATAATTAATGTTGTGCAATTTCAATAAATATCTCATTCCCTAGGTCAGGTGTATTCATTGCCTCTTTCATAATTAATGCTGTGCGCTTTCATTGAATATTTCATTATCAATTCTGGGTGCTTTCATTGTGCATTTCAATAAATATTTCATTAGCTAGGTTATATGTATTCATTGCTTCTTTCATAATTAATGATGTGCACTTTCATTGAATATTCCACAGCTTTCATTGGGATTTTTCATTGAGTATCTCAATATTTCATTCCAATTTCATATCTGCCCCCAGGGATATCATTATGA